AGTCTGAAAAGCGAGAAACACACAGCGTCACACACGGCGGGCTAGAGTGAGCGGCGGCGGGCTAGAGTGAGGAACGGCCGGCGGGCTAGAGTGAGCGGAGGCTGGCAGGCTAGAGTGAGGAACGGGCGGCGGGCTTGAGAACGGCGCAGCCGGCGGATTCGACGAAAGAGCGGACGGCGGGCTTGTGGCAACCACATGTGACGACCCCGGGCTGACTAGATCTATGAAAGAATTTTGTGGTTATGTAAACAATTTTGTGCACTAGTAATTTAATTATTGGTTGCATAGATATGAATGGTGAAAGTAGAGCACAAAAGTCACATACACAACACATGGTAGATGAGTAAATGGTCAAAACATGAAGGCTGTAATGATCAGTCCACTGAAGGCGAGTTGAAGATGAACCCAAGTGCAGCTTTATTTACAAAGTGATCCAGAATCCAAACAATTAACACAGACTTGACATGACTTGACTTGAACAGACTAGACTTGACTTGACTATGACTTAAACACTCACCGACAGCAGAATAAATACATTCAATACATGACAAGGAACAAAGGCAACGACATGGCTACTTATAGCAAACAAAGAGGGTCACATGACATGAACAAACCAATGGGACACAGGACACATGACCTGGACAACCAATCAGAACATGACACAATGAACAGAGGAACCAATAGCATGAAGACAAGAGGGCAAGGGAAGCATGACACTAACAGCATGAAACAATACAAAATAAAAGATATGAAAATATGAACATGACAAAACCCAAAACACCTTACAAAGGCCATACATTTGAGCCAACAAAAAAAGAAGCTAAACTGGTTATCTTTGTTGAATTTATTTATTTTAAAAATATTTAGTGGAAGACAACTACATGAATATGAACTGTGTTCAAGCAGAAATATGATGTTATAGTGATCGAGAGCGAACATGTTTCCGCATTAATAATAATGGATACACGCACCTAATGTAAGACTCCTGTATGTTCTCTGTAATTGTCTTTACCTTGATTACAATCATCATCCATCAAAAATTTACTAGCACAACACTGGCTTGCTTTATCCAGCCGAGAGCTGTAGTTTGCATAGATAGACAGCAGCAGGAAAAATTGACTGCTGTTACTTTAATACATAAAATCCAATAATCCAATAATGGGTCCAATGTATTGACATAACCGATTTCTTTCCCAACTGTTTACATTCACTTAAAGGTGCCATAGAATGCATTGATACAATATTTTAAATTGTTCTCTGATATCTACATAGAAGGTATGTGGCTTAGGTAAGGGCAAAAAATCTCCAAAAACGGTTTTACATGTCCATTTACAACCCTAGGATTTGTCTCTAGAATGAAATGGTCTGTTATTACCTTATTTGGAAGGGTCATGAATAATAATGTTGAGCTCTGCTCTGATTGGCTGTTTCACAGTGCGGCTCAATGTTGAGCT